AGCAGAAGCAAAATACAGAAGCACGGAGCGGCAAGGAATGGTGGGAAGCTCCCATTGAAGAGCTCAACTTGGAAGAGCTCAAACAAATGGAGGAGCGAATGGAGGATCTTCGACAGAATTTGTGCAGTTCGACAGATAAAAAAAAAATCAAGGATAATATGATTGTGCTTCCTACAATTGTCTTGTGTACTTATTTAGTCTTTTGATTTGTATTTTACATGTGATAAAATAGTAAGGATGATATGACTACAATTTTCACATGTACCTTTGAGACAATTTCGTACGCTGACGGACAACTCCAGAATAGACTTATAAAGCATTTGTCAAGTTTTACACGTTAGCCATCCAAAAACAAAAACAAAAAAACAAAAAAAAAGTTTCACACGTTAGCAAGTGCAATTCTATAAACATGTCTCAAGTAAGATTTGAACATTTGTGTTCTAGGAAGGTTTTGACGTACGGAATTTCTATTTTTACTGACAAGTGACGTACGACTCCTTGGAATTTCTTTTACTTAGAAAATATTTGGAATAAAAGGGAAGCTTTGTTTTGTTTTTCTTTGCTTCTAAATCTTACGGTGTGTTTGTTTCAGTGAAAGATATTTTTACGAATATGTCCTGGACTTTCACGCGTGTGGTTCACTAAAAATGATCGGGTAACTTGAAAATCATTTACAATCAAAGAAAATATGCATACTTAAAATTAGGAAAATGAATTCCCTAACTTGAAAAGGAGAAAGCATTTTCCTCAAACATTATTTCTCGAAAAGCATTTTTCTTTATCATGAAATTCTTCCCGAAACAAACACACTCTTAATACTTATGTCTACGTCATAGTAATTCTTGGAGTTGAGTGGTCGTTTGTGTCGAAGGAGGTCCCCTGTTTGACTTGGACTCTTGAGTTAGGGAAAGATTCAAATAAAGACCTAAAATGGGACGTTTTTGCAAATGATGGCCGCAGTGTATCTTGTTTGAAATAAGGCCTCAAAATATCCAACTTAGTTTCAAATAATATCCTTAATCTCAACAAGCACCACTACCCTCCATCCCTATCTCCCCTTGTTGGGAGAACAACAACAATCCGAACAATATCGGATTAGCGCAACAAAACGAAATAATCCCCCCTCTTGTGCAAGCCTAATAGGAAACAGTAAATAGAGACATATATAGATACCAAGCACACAGACACAAGGTGATTTTTACGTGAAAAACCTCATCGGTGTGAAGATATCAAAAACCACGAGACCAGAGTCCATCCAAAAATCTTCATTATCAGCAAAATTGGTGAATAAAGTTCTTCTCTAGTAAATACTAGAGGTATATAGCAGTAAAGACATCAAGAACATCATTCTTGGAAATAGACATAAACTTTACAAGAGATAAATGATAAATCTCACAAAAAACGCACTTTTGGTACACCCCACGAAAGCCTCATGTAGGGAGCTTCAAGCAAAAATCAAACCGATCTGATTTGAGAATAATGTGGCACGAGCATGCTGACAAAATTTCAGCTCAATCGGACCATGAATCGACCTCCGATGTTAGCTTGATGAAAATTAGATATTTCATCAACCTAAATTTTCCGCTCTCTCTTTCTATCTTGTTACTGCATCTCTCAAAAACGCTATTTTGTGGCTACAACATAATAATAATGAGAAACCCTATTTCTTCATATGAGTATCATATGGGCTCATGTCTTGGACTTGTAATTCATTTTGCTTCCTCCACATGGGGGTGAACCCAGCCAACACCCCTTTCCCTGTCTCTTACTTAATTTCAAGCCACTTGGATTGATTCTACATATTGTTATCCGGAAGAGGGATATATGCCCAATTCTGATGTAATTTGAGACAAACTAAAAAATGTCAAAATTTATATTGATTTTCTAAAAGGTTCGTTTTAATTCCAATCGTGTAGCTACTCCTTTTGTCATGCGTAGATGGCGGAAATGTATACATGAAGGAGTGAGCAATATTTGTGGATCGATTAATTTAAAAAGCTTTAATAGTTTTATATGACACCAGTTGAATTGTGTTCATTTGACAATAAATTCATTGTCCTAAGAAAGATTAAAGAGAACGAATAGCATCAACTTTTAATACATCATTCATGAAGTGATTAGTGACTAACTTTATTCATATTGGAGTTATGAACACCATTTTTATAACGATCCAATCCAACAAGGGTGGAGAGTGGTCGCCGAGGCTAAAGGGTCTGGACAAGGAGGAGGTCATGGTAGGCTTTAAGGATGGCGAATAGGGCAAGAATGAACTGAACTGCGCACCGAAAAAGGGGAGAGCGTGCTTCGGATATATAAGTGAAAATTGGAATTAACTCACGGAGCTCCTTTTGACTAACGGCAAGGTTTACTTTGAAACTCTAAATTAAGCGTGCCCAGGCTAGAGCACTACCAAGAGAGTTGACTTCTTGGGAGAGTGCATGCCTGCACATCAAAGGACAAAATTGAGAGGCTTGGTATGGGATGGGTCAAAGTAGACACTAGTTCAAGTGAGTTAAATATAAGGATGTCACAATATGGTATCCGAGCAGGACCTCTCCAATAGGTGTGGTTTGGGGACAAATCATGTGGAAGCTTGTGGGCTTGTAACAACTCTGTCCAATAAGGGCAAGGAGTGATCGCCGAGCCAAATGGCTTAGACAAAGGGTGGCTCATAGCAAGCTTGTAGGATGGTGAAAAGGGCATAAATGAACCAATCGGCACACCAGAATAGGGAAGAGCTTGCCTAGGATATATAAGTGGAAATTGAAATTTACTCACAGAGGCCCTTTTTACGTAATGACAAGTTAAGTATGCCCAGACTAGAGCACTACCAGGATGCGTAACCTCTTGAGAAAGCGTATTCTTGTACACCAAAAGACAAAACAGTGAGACTCAATATGGCACGGGCCAAAGTGAACAATACATCGAGTAAGTTAAATCTAGGGATGCCACAATCATACATTGGAAAAAGTTCTACATTTCCATGTATTGTTAAAATTAAGTGCTTATATTACAATACTGGTGTTAGTGGTCCTAATGGGACTTACTTTTTGTTTAAATGAGGAACTCATCCTTCTTTGAAATCTGATTGATGTAATTTCATAGTATATAGACAAATGACTTTTGGGTGAAAATTACAAGACCAGCATAGGTCATTGTGTTAGGGAAGCGTCAACTTTTGAGAGCTCGGATACTATTACGATATTGCTGTATTATCACCCCGACAACCACCCCTCTTTCTTCGCATGCCATCTTGGGAATATTGTGGTCACGTTACTCTCCCACCCATAGTACTATCAATTCTGCCACCTTATTCTTTCCTTTGCATGCCACGAGTAACTCACTTAGCCGCTTCTTCCCTTGGCACGATTAAACTCCCTAAGCCACATATTCAGCCACCTTTCTTGTTCTTTGCATACCACCTTAGTGTCACCACCACGTCACCTCTTGCCACACGTCCAACCCCCAAGATGCCATTCTCCATGTGCCCACCCTAGTCATGCAGAAGAGAGGGAGGGAAACAATCTGCATTCTCCCCACTATTCTCGACTGTCCCTCTTGCATACTTCTCCTTCGGCATCAATTTCTCTTCTAGATATTTGCTTGCCACGACTCTAGCTACCACAGCCGCCGCCAAACCCTCACTCCGACGACCCCTCTCTATCCGAGAACGCAAGGCGAGCGACAGAAGGCCTTGGGAAGCCACCGCGAGCCGCCTCAAGACCATCACACCGTTGATTACCTTTCCACTGTGAGCTCGAGGTGTGCGACGAGAAGCTTCGGAGAGACTACTGCGATTCTCCTTTTATTTCCGGGACTGCACCGCGTCGTATCTTGGGATATTGATGGAAAGTGAAATTCTACCTTCCTATATTAGATCGGAATGGATTGCATGTTGAGTTGGGTGTAGGTTTAGGATATTGATGGAAAGGGATGGTGGTGATGGATGTTAGTTTCTGGTTTTTGGTGTTTTTGAACACCAAACTCGTGGGGATCAAGTATTGAGTTGTTCTTGAACTTGAATTGTGAATTCCGGACTCGGTTTTTGCTGGATCTTTACTACTTCCCAATTTTTTAGAGATTTATGTGGTATGAACCTTGCAAAACTTCCTTCATGAAAGTTGTTTAACACATCTGGGCGTATAACATATTTTAATTTCAGAATTTTTGAAGTTGTTTTGTGTAGCACGAAGGCCTAATCTCCAACCAGTGCTAGACTGCCCGGGTGCTCTGTTTCAGTGACCTTTTAGCGTTCTTGATTTGTTATAAAATTTTATAGAACGATTCCGGAAAAACTCCCTTCACAAAATTTCTTGTGGACGCATTTCTATACAACATATTTAAATTTGAGAATTTTTGGAGATGATTTGGGTACTGAACTGAGCTCATCTAGAAAGGCAAGGATTCTGTTCCAATAAACAGTTTTTAATCTGATTTTAATGCTCTTGAATGAGGTAGTTATAGAAAGATTTAGACTTTGAGCTCTCATGAAAAATTTTTATCAAGGTGTTCTCTATGACATATTTAAAATTTAGAATTTTTGAGTTTATTTATTAATTGCTTTAAGCTGATTTCAAAAACGGCGCGAAACTACCTAGTTTTACCTTTTTTTTAAAGACTCACTATTTTCTAGGTGAAAACGTCGGAATTTCGTCTTGATGTCTTTTGGAGAGAGAATCTAAACATTTTGAACTTTTAAATGAGATATGATAGACCTTGATTGGATGTCAAATGATGGGGCAAGTGAGATCAAGTTCTTAAATAAGCTTGTAACTGGCAAGCGTTGCTAGAAAGGATTAATTGTTGTGTTGTTATCTGTGTGACATTGAAAAAGATAGATTGTTGTTGGTTATCTATGTATTGTATGAATTGATTATGCGTGTGGGCTTGTTGGGTTATTGAATGCCATCGGTTAGTGAACCGACGATGTCCCGAGGAGCCGAAGGGAAAGCGGGATGTCCGGTTATGGGAACCGGTTGCCTAGGAGGATTCTGCCCTAGATGCCCCGGGAGTTTGATCAGGATGCCGTGGTTAGTGGACCACGAAGCCTGCATGGGCCGTTGAGAATTCCGGCATACACCGCGGCGGATCGGAGTGCGCACCGAACCCCGCTAGACGGGAGTTTTCCTCCTTGGGTGACCGGTGAGCGCACCGGGCATGTGACTTGGAGTGAGATAATGATACCCATGCAAGTGTAAAATTGTGTGTGTATGTTTGAATCGTGCTGTTAATTGTGATTGCTGAGTTAAAGTATTACACTTGAGATAGTTCCTAAGGTGGAACATTAAAGTACATTTTGTTTGGTTGGTAAGTTCGGATAGAAGACTGTCATACTTATGCCGTTGATATGCATGCTATTCTTGTTTGGTATAGATTGATAGATATTTCACTGCTGAGCTATTGCTCATTCTTGTAGTGGTTAAACATTTTCAAACTAGTTGAGATGCTGATCCTCCCTGCCTCGTCCTCTATTAGCTATGGTGTCCCTATAGATTTCTCGGCATATCTAACGGAGTTCCAGGACCCGGATTTTCCACATGTGGTGTTCGTGAAACGCATCTTGATTTTGACTATCGAAATTGGGTCCTCAGTGGACCCTATTCTCTTGAGGTTTGTAGCGGTTTTTGTTCGAGTGGGCGGATGATTGATAAGACCATTATCGTACTTCGATGGGGAACGATGGGGATAGCGAAGTGGAGTGACTTGGAAAGGGAGGAGCAGGGAAGTACCATTTTTTAGCACAACTGATATTTTGGATAGAGTTGTGTGGAGGGTGATCCATTTTGACTGACGTGAGTGGTGGGTACATGTATATAGACCAGGTAGGAAGTAGACCTACTGTTAACCCCCAACTCACCTATGTATCACCTTATGTTGATAAATAATGAAGCTTGAAGTTCAGTTCTGTGTTACCTTTATAGTAGTAGACTTTCCTTTTTGATAATTCATGTTATAAATATTGTTGTTAAGGAGAAGCGTCTTCCGCATGCGAACTCTTATTCATGCGTAAGGTTGGAGTGACTCACAGCAAAAAGGGGCGTGCCTGGGATGCCACAAGAGGTACCTGAGTAGAAGGTGAACAAGCCTAGAACGAGAAGTTGAGTAAAGCTTGGAAGCACCATGGATAGGTGAATAGCAAGGTAGAGCCACGATTGCCAATATACTTGGAAGAACCAGAAGATAGAAACTGGAAATGAAGAACTTCAAACTCAGAGAACTTCTTATGTTTACATCATGACACAAGTTTAGAACGTGACACAATGGCTAGTGATCTGGCTTAGATTTCACACTTAAAAAGATTTGATTGACTCAATCTTAATGATTGTTTTGCAAATCAACTTTGTAATGCAAAACATCTTAATTGATTGGCAAATCAATCTCAAGATAAGTTCCTTTCTAAACGGATAAGCTCTACTTATGGAAACTAAAGCGTGCCATTTTTTTTATTAAGTGAGTATGTATTGTCTAGGCTCATTTTACTATATCTCACTTAGAGAACTTATTAGACCCACTTTAGGTCACTTCAAAAAACATAAGTTTACATGTCACATCACCACATATTGAGTCTAAAAAATATTTTTTACCCCTTTTTAGCTAAAACATTGTATTAACTCGAACAACTGAGTGCATCATTATTAAATGAGTTTCGTTAGGAGGTAAGGCGATGACTATAATACTTCCCTTGTACTAGTTTCAAATAATTTTGATTTTGATGACAGTGTCATTAATCATTACATGATTTAAATGTATTCATCTGTTAGTTAAGGTTTTAGGGTTTGTTTGTTCAAGATTCAGTAAAAGTGAAAAGTATTTTCTTGGTTTCCCGCTAAAATTTAAATATTATATAATTTCAAAATTTTCAAAAAAAATTGTGAATTTACGTGTCAATGTTTGTATGTTTAAAAAATGCCAAGTATTTTGGATTTCAAAAAGGTCAAACTGTGTGAAGCACAAGAATTAGATCATACCCAAAAACCAGAGAGTAAAAGTCAACGTAAACAGATTCTAAGATCTCACAACTTCAATATGATGTTGGTGTAGGACAACTTAGAGTTTGAAACTCTCAAGACCCCAATTTCGTTTCTATTCCTTTGTATCAAACATTAGCCTTGAATTTGTTCAGTGGACCATCCGCCGTATCCATTGGAAATTCTAAGGCATTTCGTCATAAAAAGGCATTTCATATAAATTTCAACAACCATGAACATATCTTATGAGTAATTCGGTGAATTTAAGGTATCTATCACTAGGAGTGTTGAAATTAATCCGAAAGCATGCAAAACCAAATTGGCCAGTTCAGCTCGGACCAGCCTTTTCGGGTTAGGATTCAATCGCGCCAGGCTACCAGGGCCATCTTTTCCTTTTTTTTCTTTGGGCCAGGCCCAAAATTTCCTTGAAGTCCAGCCCGTTCGTACTCGTATCTAATATGATTTTCCTCTGGCTATAATGGCAGATTCTTAGCAATGGTCTTTAACAAAAGCATGGAGCACAGAGCCACGGTGAATACGACAAGAGAAAGGATCTCCATTGCTAAGTTCTTCAACCCTAAGCTGGACTCAGAAATTGGCCGAATCCAATCTCTGACGACTACAGAAAGTCCAGCGATGTTCAGAAGGATAAAGTTGGAGAAATATGTCAAAGACTACTTTGCCCAGAAGCTTAATGGAAAGTCATATTTAGAGACGATGAAGCTTCAACCGGAGAAGGCTGTTGCACTTCAAGGGGAGTGAACGAGAAGGATTTAGGAAGACCCTTGCTTGCCAAGCTTTATTGACGAGCCAAACATACTTAAGCATCCAAAAATATATGTTGCTTTATTGTCGTATCATGTTGTATATCTATTTGTGTAAAGCAACTTCTATGTCGGTTAGAGTATTGAGTGTTGTAGCACCGTTTGTCAAAAAAGCATAGTGTCTTGTAACATAGGTATTTTGTTATACCGGTATCTTTATGTCTGGACGATATTGTATATTTCAGTTTCGGTACTACTTCATATAAATAATAGTGGGAGTCTGTTAATATTTAGAAATGAGATTTTGATTGTAAACTGCAAATCATTTCGAATAATGTTTCATTATGCAAATTCAAAAAATTAAAAGGTGGTAAGTATCAAATTCAACTTAAAGAAACAACATACCCTAAAGCATCTCCGTTCTATTTTCAATAATAACTTTTCATGCCACGAGTTTTAATATATACTAAGATACTCTAATTCCTATGATTTTGTATTTTTACTTTCTTATAGAAGAAATTAAAGAGAATCTATTAGATTATTTAATCTTTTGATCAAATAAAAAAGAGTATACTCATAACTTAGCAAAAGCAAGTCTACTCAAAAGAACTTACTAGGAAAGACTGATCAGAACCGAGATCACTAGATAAGTTCATCATTATAGAAAAATTGGCCCAATACAACCTATGGTGACTAAGGAGAGTCGAGCGCTGTTTAGACGGACAAAGATGGAAACATACGTATGTCGCAATCCCTTCCAGATGAATCCGTGATTGTTTTAATAGATTTTTAGGTGAGCACGAGTAAGCCTATAGTAAGGTCACAGACTCTTCCAAGCCCTACTTATCACAACTTGCTTTCTCACTAAATTGAATACTACTAGAGTTTTAATAAAAGATTTTGAGTTTTGAGGACTTGGTAACACTGGTTTTACCTAACTCCCGCGACTTGTATCTTTTATCTTTTAGTAGAACATTATTTCATGAAACCATTTCCAATTTTTATTCCTAAATAAAAAAAAATCTATATAGATGTGCATAAGTGCGCATTCCATAAATCACTCAAACAAATAAACATATAATAAAAGCTAAAAAAGAAAACAAATCTAAAAACAACTCGAGTTGTATTGGGCAACCTTAATACAAGGCCTTACTATAACATCGTGGGACATGACCAATGAGAGCAAGTTATAAGAAATAAATGCGCTTAAATTAACAATGAGAAATTAAACATGAATTTTAACTAAATCTAAAGCATTTTATGCACTAATATAACAAATTACTCCTATCTTTACCTCGGAAAAAAAATTGTTAGATGCATTTAATTTATTATTCATCTTATTGAAAATAGCTTTACTTAAGATCTCTAGCATGCTGCACTATATGAAATAATAAGAAACTAACAAAACAGAGTGTAATTCTTCGATATGACTCGAATCGGGCATAGAGACAACGTTGCTAATCCAACGAATTCCGTGGATACTAAGAAAGCAAAGAGTTTGACTTCATTGCAATTAAACAAAATTAATTAAGTGACATATAAGAACGGGACAAAGTCACAAGAAATCCCAAACCATGCCCACTATCAAACATTTATCTTGAACCTTTTTTTGTGATATAAAAAACCCCAAACAATACCAATTGTGACACATTTACTCTAAAAATTTTTTTGTGACATAAAAAACCTTAAACTTGTACATATGTGACACATTTACCCTACATCAATATTTTTTTTTATCGAAAAGTGATACTTTTATTTACAGCAATATAGTTCTGGCCAGAAAAGCCCACTGAAAGGGCATCACTACAAAGTAGAGCCCATAGGGCTTGTGGGGGTGAAGAGATCCAGTTGCATGGAAGACAATGATCTCTATGGGCTTTCGTAGCCCAATCAGCTACCGTATTAGTACTTCTTAGGCCAGATTCTAGCCGCACGGATGGAAGGCTTGCTAGGATAGAGGAGCACTCTGAGATAAGCAAACGAAACTCCCAGTTAAAGTGATCTGTGGAGGTAAGTGCTTGAATCAAATCTTGCCGATCAGGTTGGATAGATATTTTGCTCAGACCTTTCTTTTTCACGAATCTAAGGGCTTCAAGCAAAGTGAGAGTTTCGACTCGAGCCGCAGAGGAGGCTTGGACCGTCTTTGTAAAACCTGCGACGAGACTGCCGGTGTAATCCCGGCAAACACAAGCAACAGCACCGTCCGTCGTTCGTTCCGCAAGTGAGCCATCGACATTGATTTTCAGTTCGACGTTCACCGGTGCAACCCAGGTATGAGAAACAAATAGATCTGCATTTTTTCCTGCTTGCGATGCCTAATTGCCCCATCTCTCATAATTTCCTTGAAAAACCTTCGCTGATTCGACTGTTTTACCTGCATTTGAGACATGGCCTCTGAAAATCGCATTGTTACAGGTGACCCATATACACCACAAGACCGACGCCACTGTTTCAAGTGAAGGTAAGCTTGTCCGTTTCCCAATGAAGTTCATTACCCGTACGTCAAACTGAGTAATCCCCTGCATCAAATTTTGTAATTGAAGATTAGGGGTTGACTATACATTCTGGGTCCAGGGACAGAGTAGTATGTGTTCAACTATTTCCACTTCACGCCGACAGAGTGCACAAATAGGTTCAGGTAAGATTTTCCTCTTCCATAGATTTTCTCTTGTAGAAATAGCATCGTGACATGTACTTCATAAAAAGATCTACACTATAGAGTGAATCTTTACGTTCCATATGGGTATCCACAAAGCTTTGGGTGGCTGAAACGATGATGAGAGTATCTCTGTGTTTGGATTACCTTCAGCTTCCTGTCTGAGTAAATTATAGGCATTCTTCACCGTATAACATCTTGATTTCGTACCTATCCAAAAGAATTCATCGTCTGCTTCATGGGGTTTGATTGGGATATTGAGGATTTCGTGCTTAGTCTGTTCATCAAAAAGTTCCTCTAGTTTTTGCACATTCCACCGATTCTCTTCTGGATTTATCATTTTAGCAACCTTTCGAGGATTATTTACATTTGCAGGTCCACCAATGAGACCCCTCTTTAGCCATCTATCTGTCCTTATGTTCACCTTTTCCCCATTCCCTATAGACCATATGGTTGAGTTCAAAATTGCCTCTCTTTCCATAAGTAAGCTTTGACATCCCCAAGATGGCCTAGCTCCTTTCTCCGCATGCCCGAAATCCTTTTGATAGAAGTAAATGCCTTTGAAGAATCTACTCCATAATGCTTCTGGGTATTTGATTAAACGCCATGCTTGTTTACCTAATATAGCTTTGTTAATAGTGATCAAATCTCTAAAGCACATACCTCCTTTGTCTTTCCTCACCTTCAAAGTATCCCACTTTTTCCAATGTAAACCAGCCTTTGAATCACTGTTTTTCTACCAAAAGTTTGCCATTTTCTGCTCAATTGCTTTACAAATGGAAACTGGGATTTTGAAAAAAGACATTGCATATTGCGGTAGAGCTTGAACTACAGTTTTCAGCAAAATTTCTTTTCCCGCCTTCGAGATCAACTTCTCCTTCCCTCCTTCCAATTTCTTGTTTACTCTCCCCAGAATCCAAGCAAACATTTGCTTTTTTGAAGCACCCCAATTTGAAGGAATACCCAGATACTTTCCTATGTGGCTAATCTTAGGGATCCTCAATTCCCTAGCCATATTATCCCTCAATAATTGAGGACATCCCATACCGAAAAAGTTACCCGATTTGTTCAGGTTAACAGCTTGTCCGGAAGCATAACAGTACTGGTTAAGGACAGCTGAAAAGTTCTGGCACTCTATTATCGATCCATCTAAAAAGAAGATGGAATCATCCGCAAATAATAAGTGGGATAGGGTTGGACAAGAACTGTGCAGCTTAATCCCCTTTGTGCTTTCATTTTCCACTGATTGTCTATTAAAGATGACAGACTATTAGCTACCAGAATAAAGAGGTAAGGTGATAAGTGGTCTCCCTGCCTAATGCCTCTTGTAGGAGTGAAAAAAGGAAGGGGTTCTCCATGCAACTTTACACTAAAGGAAACTGTGGTGACATATTGCATGACCTATCTAACCCATTTTTCGCAAAAACCCATTTTTAACATGCAAGCTTCGTGAAAATCCCACTCCACTCTATCATACGCCTTTTACATATCAAGTTTAAGGACAGCTTGGAACTTTTTCTTCCTATTTCGCACCCTCAATTGATGTAGAACCTCTTGCACAATCAAAATGTTGTTATAAATTTGTCTACCACTCACGAACACACTCTGTTCCTCAGAAATCAGCTCAGGCAGCCAGGGCTTTAGTCTATTTGCCATTGTCTTGGATATGATTTTATACACAAAATTGCAAAGGCTGATGGGGCGAAATTGTTCAAGTTTTTCTGGGTTGGGTGTCTTTGGTACCAATGAAATAAAAGTTTTGTTTAAAGCTGGTTCCATAACACCCGATTGAAAAAAGTTCTTAACGGCCAGAAATATATCTTGTTTAATAATATCCTAGTGAGACTGAAAGAACATACCATTCAAGTCATCTGGACCTGGGGCCTTCGCCCCACCTAGTTGGAACACCGCTGCCTTAACCTCCTCCATTGTCACATCAGCTACTAGGAGATCATTCATTTCAGCACCCACCTTACAAGGGCATTATGCCAGCACTGGATCTATATTTCTTGGGCCTATCGAGGTGTACAGATCTCGGAAATAATTCACAGTCATCAGCTGAAGCTGATTCCTCTCCCACATACCTTCTAGAGATTTTAGCATGGAAATTCTATTCCTTTGCCTTCTTTGTATCGTTGTTGCATGAAAATATTTTGTGTTTTTGCTTCCCCATTTTAGCCAATTAATCCTCGACCTTAGACCCCAGTACATTTCTTCCCGTCTCCGTAATAGTGCTATCTCATCTTTAATGCTTTGAACCCTGGGCTTGTCTTGATCAAGATGAGTGTTGTTTGTTTGTTAAGATCAGCAATTCTTTCTTGAGGGCCTCAATTTTTTTATGG